TTGCTTACACATAGGGGAGTGAAAAGCCCTGTATGTGATAGTATTTTGTGTGACAGGTTCTCTTTAATGAAACATCAGGGGCTGGACTCACTATTATCTCCCCTACCCTTCACTGAAGCTAGCAACATACAGACATACTCCACTAGCTCCTTCCCCAGCCACCAGGGGAAAGGACAGCCTGAACCGGATAGGACGTAATAAACATCTTGCTCTTGTTTTACTTTTGAGCTAGGGGAGATCAGCAAAATGTTTACTGGTCCCCCTCCACTTTAACCCTGCAACACCCACCATGCCAGTCCCAGGCCAGCAGTGGAATAACAGAGCTCAGGAACCATGATCATGGGGCCGCATAAGTGACAGGGTTTGAAAAGAACAATTTGGCAGCTGTACAAACTCATCCTTACCTTATACACAAACGTTGTGAACTAAATTGTGTTTGTGTGTACTAAAAATATAGGATTCAAACCACTTTATGCTCTTTACAAGCTCATTTCTCAATTTCCCATATTTGGGAATCAATCTAACACCAACATATGGTACTTTGTATGTTGCTTTTCATCGTTCTCTCATTAAATTACTAATGCAACTGCTTGATTCAGGGGACAAGTTCCATATTTCTTGGATGGGACACAGCCACACATCAAAATGACCATCTTTCCAAAGCTTTAATACCCTTTTTGGGTTCTACTGATCCTGGTCCCCCCCCCCCCCCCCCCCCCACCCCCACCCCCCCTCACCCCCCCCCCGCCCCACGCCCCATGTGCTGCGTTCTTTAAATGCCTCATCCTCAAGTTTATCGGAGTTTCAACTAGGCCAGGATTAAATGGACACATACTTTATAAACAGAAGGCTAAAAAAGGATTGGGGGTACCTAATGTAATTCATTATTACTAAAAGGAGCACAAATCATCCCCCCCTGGTGAAGTTATTTGCAGGAAAGGTAGTGTCCATCTTGATCTGAGGGATGTGGATCTCCTATCCCACTCTCGTCGATACCCTGGTTACCCGCTCAACTGCACCCTAATCCTGTAAACTCGATATCCACACTCTCGCAGTTTGGAACTCGGTAAAATTTTTGGCAGGCCTCATCTCCCCGCACCTCCTCCTTTTGGAGATTTTCAAATGCCCTTTGTTTTCCCCCTCCTCCTTGTTCAGCGCACAGGAAAGATGCTCCGTTCAACAGTTAAAAGATGCATATGATTTTCCAGACTCTGAGAAATCGCATCACTTCTTGGAATCCTGATTGGTCTACAGACTCAACAGCCTTTGAAACTAGGTGGTGAACCTAGGCCAACAAGCCAAGGCCTTGTATCTATATAATAGTCCTCTCTTCTGAATTCCTCGAATGCCCAGGCCACTTCTTATTGTGCACAGTGGGAACAGGACCTTGACACCTCATAGTCCCCTACATACTGGAATAGCATGTGGGAGGCATGGTTTCGCTTCTTCCATAACATGGTCACTCTACTCATTCAACGTAATGTCCAGGTGGTACTATACACCAGCACTATTCGCAAACTATCTCCCCACTTACCCCGCTTGTGTATTCCAGGGTCGCCAGCCCTGGGCAACATGAACATATGGGTAACCGCCTACAGTGGATATAAAAAGTTTACACACCCCTTTTAAAATGTGAGGTTTCTGTGATGATGTTTTTTTACATAAGACAGAAATAATTTCAGAAGTTTTTCCACCTTTAATGTGACCTATAAAGACTGTACAGCTCAATTAAAAAACAAACTGAAAGCTTTTTTCTTTTTGAACATGAAAAACTAAAATAATGTGGTTGCATAAATGTGCACACCCTCTTGTAACTGGGGACATAGATGTGTTCATAATTAAGCAATCACATTCAAAATCATGTTAAATAGGGAGTCAGTACACACCTGCCATTATTTAAAGGGCCTCTGTTTAACCCCAAATAAAAAGTTCAGCTGTTTTTTTTTTGTTTTTTTTTTATTTTTCTTTAGGTCTTCCCTGACACTTTCTTAGTAACATCCTACAGCAAAAGCTATGGTCTGCAGAGAACTTCCAAAGCATCAGAGGGGATCTCACTGCATATCAAAAAAGGTATCAGTCAGGAGAAGGGTACAAAAGAAGTTTCCAAGGCATTAGATATACCATGGAACACAGTGATCATCAATCTGTGGAGAAAATATCAGGGCACAACAGTGACAATAGCACGAAACCAAGAACTGGCCTCACGTCCCTCCAAAATTGATGAAGACAAGAAAAGTCATCTGGGAGGCTGCCAAGAGGCCTACAGCAACATTAAAGGAGCTGCAGGAATATTTGGCAAGTACTGTGTGGTACATGTGACATTTGGCAAGTACTGACCTGTGTAAAAAGTACATGTGACAACAATCTCCCATATTCTTCTTATGTCTGGGCTATGGGGTGAGTGGCAAGATGGAAGCCTTTTCTTACAAAGAAAACATCCAAGCCCAGGTAAATTTTGCAAAGACACATCTGAAGTCTCCCAAAAGCATGTGGGACAAAATGTGTTATGGTCTGATGAAACCAAGGTTGAACCTTTTGGCCATAATTCCAAAAGTTATGTTTGGCAGAACAACAGAACAAAACACTGCAGATCACCAAAAGAACACCATACCCACAGTGAAGTCATTTCCATCCCCCCCCCCCCCCAATTTAACTTTAATGCAACCACAAGGGGGCTTCCAACCTCCTTACATGATAGCAGTGGGCAAGGGACAGACCTTCCCCTCTCTCACCTGCAGTTAATTAGCTACAGCAGCCAGGGAATGCTGGCTCTGAAACCAGAATTGCTCAGAGCTGCATACTTCCAGCGTCACAGACAGCAGAGATTGGGAAACGGATGTTACCCGATTTCCTCACAGTTGCCATCCTGCAAGCATCAGGATGTAGTCCTAGATAGGTACATATGCTTTAAAAACACCCCACACCACAGACCTAAACTATAGGTGGATGTAAACTATGATCTTCTGTTTACATCCGCCCACCTATAGACATACATTGTGGTTCACTCTGGATCTGCCTGAAAAACTGACAGACAGATCTAGAACAAAACACCCATGTGAAAGGGGCCTAAAAAGTTAATTTAGGTCAAGCTGGCATAAACTATTTCCTTTACATGCAACATCTCCACCTCAGCCAGAAAAGCCTGGTATTCATAAAGTACAAAGCCTCCTGTTAATGAACAGTCTCATGACGACTCAATTTTGTTCCAGGAATGGGACAGAATTCCCCATACCACTATTAGAACAGTGCTGTAAATACTACGTAGTTTATATAGCACTGACAGAATGTATTAGTAAAGGAAATTGTCAATTAACCAGTTTGGCTAGATTATAATAAATAATACATCCCTGCCAATTAGGCTTTGCTGCATGCACTGACAGTAAACAGGCTTATACATGGAAGCAGAGGAATTCTCATTATGGTAGATGCTTCTGTACAGGTTGAGTATCTGGTTCTAATGTTATACAAGGGTGCCTGGATCACAGCAGTAGTTAAGAATTGTGACAATGCCAGTGCACTGAGAGGGGGAGAGAAAAAAAAAAAAAAAAAAAAACACCCCACAACCCACCAAGAGTTTATAACCAAAAATAAATTGAGAATTTACAGTTTGTTTCTTTTTAACATACTGTCACCCTAGCAGTACACTCACCATGGTGACTACTACTACAAGTCACCTACTAGTAGTCACCATGGTGACAGTATGTTAAGAAAAAAAAAAATGTAAATTTCTAAATTTTTGGTTATAAACCAATTTGGGTTTTTTTCCCTAAAAAGATAACTGAATACATTTTGGTCAAGATTTATGATTAAATATTTGCTACATTTTTTTTTTTTTTTTTTTTTTTTTTTAAACACACGCCCATAAAGGCTGTAAAAGCAATCATTTCTCCTCTCTGGCTGCATTCTTACAGCCACTGAGAAACACTGTGTGAGCTGTGATTGGTCATAGCTTGTCACATGGTACAAGACTGTTGTGAATAGTCTTGTACCATGAGACCTCTGTAATCACAGATTTCACACGTAGTAAGCAATGTGTCAAAAGTGACATCTTGCCTACTACTCTGCATATGATCACTGATTGGCCAATCAGTGATCACATGATCGGGACCTCGCATAGAGGTCCCGTACGATGATCGGTGTCTGGAGGACACAGCGGGCACCGGATCGCAGTGCTACGAGCTCCCAGGAAGCACGCACAAGCAGGGTGCGAGGAGGCCATTTATAAACAGCCACCCACTCCTGCACTGCCACCGTCCGGCCATTTATATACAACAGCCAGGCAGGAGATGGTTAATGAAAGTAAAGTGTAAACCATTTGACAAATCTGGGGGTGTACTTCCAATTTAAAACAGATGGCATAGAATAGATTCATGTGAGTGCAATTTAAATGTATGTATGTCCTATATTACCCTAATCAACGGCCAGCAGATATGTAAATGAACATAAACCGTCTTGACACACTGTGCAAGGTTGGTAAACAAGAGTGAAAACCACCACCAGCCAAAAGTAGGTTGTTCAGCTTGAGTTACTCAGTCTTATGGTATTATAACTCCTACAAACATTTTCTAGATTTCCCACTTAGGCTTAAAAATACCCTAGCTTTATTCTCACCACCTTGAACAGATGTCCTGCCATCCATTTAAGTAAATGCCTGTGACACCTATAGCTACATCCCTTGGAGATTTGTATTCTCACATTAGATTAAGAAAAACGTGACTGTAAATGCTTATGACAGATGAATCTCTCAACATTGACCCGTAAAAAAACAAAAAAAAAAAAAAAAAAACACTTTCTAATTCAGAAGCTTGCCTGAAGTTTAACATTGCTGTGCTTTATTTTACATAAAAGAAAAACGCATAGAGGTAAGGGAAACAATGTCAAAGATTAAATAAAAACCAATTACAGCTGAAAAAAAATATTGTGGTGGAGTCCAATAATGTTGAAAGGAGAATTAGTCCTTTGCTGCAGGGCATTGTGTCGGAGTGAATCCCAAAACTTTATTAGCTTCTGTCTTCAAATTGAGTTTTATTCTTTAAGAGGTAAGCTGCTAAAAATTCTATTGGATTTGGAGGTCTGTAAAGAAAAAAAAAATCAAAAATTGTATACCTCAAAAAAAAAAAAAAAAAAAAAACCCACACCATATAGAATGCAATATACATTTAAAAACAAGAACAGTGTGAAATGTACATAGAGCTGTTATGCCATTAAAATACATCTGCAACACAGTGATGTCAACTTTCATGACTTCTACGATTATATCCACTTAGGTCAATGAAAATATACCAGTCTATAAGAGATCAAGGCAAAGAACACTTTGGGGGGAGTTACAAAAATGGGATTAGACAGAAGCAGATGTGCATAGTAACCAGCCTCCCCTTGTTCAGTTAAGCTTTGAAAATAAAAGCTAGAGGAGAATTGGTTGCCATGTACAGCTGCTCCATTCTTAGTAAAATTCCCCTCACTGTAGAATTAAAAAAAAAAAAAAAAAAAAAAAAAAAAAAAGGGTCAGGGACCTTTTCCTTGCATTTCCCACAGGTACAAAAGCTCATTCAAATGAATTGGTTGCTGTGCCCACACAAACATGGCATGCCCAAATAGTCCCAGTGTGACCCTAGGCTTATACTAGGTGACCTGAACATAAAACCAAAGCATAGATCCACACAAAGCAATGTTTCCCCTCAGGTCCAGCCTAAACTATCACAAACACATATCTGCAGATTGGGGGGGGGGGGGGGATTAAGTGGTCTTTGGCAACGTACAATAAGTACAAGTACACGCATGCCACAGAAAAGTGCAATATGCTTCCCCCTTTGTACAATCCTGAAAAGGAAGTGCTCTGATCTCCCTTTGTCATGTAAGCAAGTTTCTAATGCTGTTAAACTGATAAAGGAGGTGGATCCTTCTCACTCATGAAGTGCGGATCCTGCACAACCCGGCAGTGGGAAGACACATGGATATTTGTTTCTATTAGGCTTAGTTCTCACAGGCGTACTTATACCCATACAAGGGGCATGTTGGCCAGATGTGAATGCACAGATGTTCCATGCTTTCCTGTACTGAAGTCCAATTCATTTCAACTGGGACACAGACGCTGCTCCCAATTTGACAGCCATGTGGGGGTTGGTCCCTGAAAGCAGAAGTATGCACATGTTTCTGTGCTTGCTCTTCTAATACAAAAAAAAACAAAAACACACAACACGCTGATTACAGTGTGTGCATGGACACATAGGATAACATGCTGGGGAGTTTACTGGCCGTAAAAAAAAAAAAAAAAAAAAAAAAAAAAAAAAAAAAAGAAGAAGGACAACTGCAGCGAACATAGACATACCCACAAAAACTTTGCCCACACTGGGGGGGAAATAAATATCACAACACACACACACACCTACCTTAACTGGAGTGCAGCCAGTCACCTTTAAAAATTTTGCTTCTCTTTCACAAGCCACATGGACAAGAAAAATGAATGTTACATGCCAATTGCTATGGGCAATAGCACCAGTTGGGATAAAACTTTATATACATCACATTTATTCCCCCTCAATTTGTCAGATAGAGATATATATAGATAGATAATATATATCTATATAGATAATATACATCTATCAAGCAAGGTCCTCTTAACTAAATGGATTTCTTTACCTCTCTTTTGCCAGCACTGAAAGACCCTGTAATAGTATTGGAACCACAGTTTGGTCAAGATATGCTCGTGTGGGCAGGGCTTGTAAATCCACCTTCTGCTTGGAGGCTTTTTCTGTGCTTGCCTTTTCATTTTCTACTATTCTCTACAAAAGAAGCACAGCAGTCAAATTAACAAGGTTGCCTTTACTTCAACTGATAAAACTACAAACACAACACAAAGATCTAATCAAAATCTAGACTTGGGAGGATTTACCAAAGTTGAGAATTTCTACATAGTAAAAACTGGTGATGGGAGCAAGACCAAGCAGTCTTGGAAACCGACACGAGGGCTCACTTTTTATATCCACACAAAAACCACATCTTTTCAGCAGGGAGCGGGGGAATGCATAACTAAGTCAGTACACAGAATTGTTAGGAGTCAGCATGGCCCAGTGCTCATCTTGTGCCCATTAGAAAGTCCAATGTAGTCAGCATGGTCCTGGTGAAAAAGTTCTATGCATTCAGCATATTCCTGACAAAATAGGGGGAGCTAGACCCTAATTGTTAGTTAAGAGCCGACTAGCAGCTCAGGTGTGATAGCCAGAGGGGTCAAATTCTGGTCAGGACTGAGACTCTGCAGGCCAGCCCCTTGGAATTTCCCCCCTGCTCTGAGGCTTTTGGAGGAGGGCCTTGGAGGCAGTGGGTGGATCTGAGTTGTTGGCTACACTCTTGAGGGACCTTAGCCAATCCCCAACAGGAGGCTTGGCAAGGGGCTGGGACTTCCTAAAAGCGGAAGAGCCTGGTCAGTAGCAGGAGTGAGGTGTAGAGAGGAGCAGGAAGATGTGAGGCTGGAGGTGGAAGGCTGCCAGGAGGCCTAGTCGAGTGAGGCCTGCCTGCGAGCCTGGAAAGGCGTCGGAGATCTCCGGACTCACTAGTCTCTTGAGCAAGGGCCACCTGTATGGCAGGGAAGGAGTAGCCCAGCTGATAGGCCTTGTAGAAGCAGCCAACCCACAAGTGGTACAGGAGAGGATCTGGGAGGTAGTACACCTGCACCCCCTTGGTAGATAGGGGAAGGAGCAAAAGAATCATATGGGAAACCAGATAAGCCCTCATAACAGATACTGTCACAAACACTAGTGTGGAAGAAATAAAATGCCAAGTTCCTCATTTACAGTGAACAAAGCTTATGAGCTGTAAAGGCATTTAAAATCCTAATCCTTCACTTCTGATCATTTTGGATGCCATCATTTTTCACCATGTCACAGGTGCATGCAGTTTTGTGGCTTTTGGTTTATTATATTTGGTATCTGTACAAACTAAGATTAGGTTGTGTTTAGTAAACAAAGAAAATGGGGGTCATATTGTGTTAGTGTGCACTATATTGCATTTTTTTTTTTTTTTTTTTTTTATAAAAACAAAGGGAGAAGTAGGGCCAAAGCTCTTTTGACCCTACTTCTCCTGGGGATCACTTAATTCTGGACTCTTGTAACACGTATTCAACAGTCAGTGGGCTTTAGGCTTAGAGGTCACAGAGCAGGTCCAAACTCTGGAAGAATCCCAACTTTAAATGTAGGGCTCCATCCAGATGCCAGACTCAGCTTGCAGCCAAGATCCTGAATTAGCCGATGTATGAAATTTACAAGCACTTGAGACACTTTCGTTAAGTACATCCAGCATATAATGGCAGATACACTATATTGCCAAAAGTATTGGGACACCCTTCCAAATCATTGGATTCAGGTGTTCCAATCACCTCCATGGCCACAGGTGTATAAAATAAAGCACCTAGTCATGCAGACTGCTTCTACAAACATTTGTGAAAGAATGGGTCGCTCTCAGGAGCTCAGTGAATTCAAGCGTGGTACCGTAATAGGTTGCCACCTGTGCAATAAGTCCATCTGTGAAATTTCCTTGCTACTAAAATATTCCACGGTCAACTGTTTGTGGTATTATAACAAAGTGGAAGCAACTGAGAACAACAACAACTCAGCCACAAAGTGGTAAGCCATGTAAAATGAGAGCAGGGTCAACATATGCTGAAGCCCACAGTGCGACAGAGTCAATAGCTAAAGATGTCCAAACTTTGTGTGGCCTTCAGATTAGCACAACAGTGCGTAGAGAGGTTCATATAAGGGGTTTCCATGGCCAAACAGCTGCATCCAAGCCTTACATCACCAAGTGCAATGCAAAGTGTCGCATGCAGTGGGGTAAAGCACACCACCACTGAACTCTAGAGCAGTGGAGATGTGTTCTTTGGAGTGACGAATCCTGCTTCTCTGACCTGGCAATTGCCAAGACATGTCCACTGGATTGCCAAACAGTACTTGCCTGACTGAATTGTGCAAAGTTTGTTGGGAGGGGGACTTCTTTCAGTGGGTTGGGCTTTTCCCACTAGTTCCAATGAAGGGAACTCTTAAGGCGTCAGCGTACCAAGACATTTCAGACAATTTCATGCTCCCGACTTTGTGGGAACAATTTGGGGATGGCCCCTTCCTGTTCCAACATGACTGCACACCAGTGCACAAAGCAAGGTCCATAAAGACATGGATGAGCAAGTTTGGGGTGGAGAAACTTGACTGGCCTACAGAGTCCTGACCTCAACCCAAAAGAATACCTTTGGGATGAACTAGATTGGAGATTGCGAGCCAGGCCTTCTCGTCCAACATCAGTGCCTGACCTCACAAATGTGCTTCTGGAAGAATGGTCAAACACTCCCATAGACACTCCTATACCTTGCGGACAGCCTTCCCAGAAGAGTTGAGGCTGTTATAGGTATAAAGGGTGGGCCAACTCAATACTGAACCCTGTGGACTGAGACTGAGAAGCCATTAAAGTTCAGGTAAGTGATAAAGGCAGGTGTCCCAATACTTTTGGCAATACAGTGTATGTCATGAAGATGTTATCATTGGGACGGTTTAGGGAATTTGGGGGGGGGGCACACAGTAACATGAAACATTATGAACCTAACAAAAAGCAATGCACACAGCCATAGCGAAGAAAAATAAATTATTCACTAGACACTTACCTGTGAACACAATACGAAAGCATGATACAGAAAAATATAAGAAGTCGTATGTTCAAAAACAACACTAGCATACAAATATATACAAAAAAAAAAAAGCCAAATCAAGGCAGATTATTATTTAGAATGATCATTAGGGCAAATAATGCCAGTGTTACCGCTTTGAGCTTCAAAGAGTCCAAAACACTTCTGAGGAGATAAAATTATGCTGAATAGATTTTTTGTCTTAAAGTGAACCCATTAGTACATTTAAGGATCATGGATTCCTACATCCTTGCTATTTTGCAACACACAGACATACCAACTTTAAAAGTGCAGGTTGAGAAATAGAAGCCTGTTAATTGCTGGCATCAGATGAACAAACTTCAGCCAACTGCAACAGGAACTGGACGGATTTTGATCCATCTATTGTCATTCCTGTCCAATATTCTACCAGTAATCAACTCCTCTCACAGTGAACTGTGGAAAATGTGTTTGATCAGCGCATGCAATTGGCTGCATCGCCAATCAGCGTATTCTGGCAGCAGAAACTCCCATTGCCAGAATACAATGACAAGGCAGGCAGGATTCCTTCATCCACCTCAAATGTGTAAGGGATGCTGGATTTGTTTGCCTGATGTCCAGGACATGCAGTTCTGGGCAAGTAGTTTTAACATTCAGCCCTGCTGCAAGTAAGCAGCAAGGATTACTTGTCAGGTGAAAGCATTTGGGCATCTGCGCTGCTACCTGAATGCAGCCACACACCCTTGAAAAAGTGTGACACCCCCCCTCCTCACAATGTAACCTGGCATCTGCGGGCCCAGGACTGGCAGAGGGGAGAGCAGACCGATCCCTTCTCCTCCCCTACTTGTTCCTGACTGGGAAGAAAGGTATGACGTCACTTGCAGGTCCCCATTGACAGTTTTCCCCCCAGCATGGCTGGGAAAGAATGCGGTCCGATCTGTCCAGCATTACATTCAGTGGAGCAGAGGAGACATCCAGGATCTTTTAGATCCTGAATGTCTCATTAAAGAGAACCTGTCACTGACGGACAGCAGAAATAATTTATTTTTTTGTCAAGCAGTCAGCTTGTCTGCTCAATTAAATCTAGGAGTTCCTGTGCCCCGCAGGGGGGTAAGAGGTAAGGTTGATCTCAGCCTGCATGTCTTCCTAGAAGTTAATTAGAAGATAAGTAGAACTGCTGAGCAAGACAGACAATATGAAAAAAGTCCCAGCAGTTTAGAAAGCAGAGCACAGCCCATACAAGACTGTGGCTTCCTAGATGCTGGGGCACATTCTCCTTACACCCCCCATCCCCCCGGCTGGCCTGCCACTGCTACCGACACCTCTCTCCACCACTTGCCAGAATTCTGCTTCCTTGCTGTGTGCCAACCCCTGCGCTGAGGATTTAAACTGGACTTAACCCAGGCACGCCAGACTCTGCCTCCTTGCTGTGTGCCAATTGCTGTGCTGAGGACTTAACCCTTGCCTGCCAGAGTCCTGCCTCCCTGTTGTGGGCCCAGACTGCTATGGACTAGCCCCCTTTGTCTACTGGACTTCTGCCTCTTGCTGCATGTCCAACCTGTGTTACAATTTAACAGCCTTTTGCATACCAGAACTCTGTTATCCTTGCTGTGTGCCCCACCTTGTGTTGCGGACTTAACCCTTTTTTTTTCTACCAGAACTCTGCTATACTAATCGTGTGCCCCTCACCTGTACAGGCAGACAGATTACACTGACAGTCCTGCATTACTGGTGCAATGCTTTCTGGGCTTCTACAAAAGAGAAAAAAAAAAAAAAAAGTGGTCTGCGCATGCCCCCGAAAGCTGATCCATCTTGCATACTCCAAGGAAGTGTCAGAGGTGTGTCCTTGGAGTATGCAAGCTGGATCGGCTTTCGGGCACATGCGCAGAACTTACACGGTGCATGCAGGGTGCCTTGCAGTGCACATGCCCATTCATTCCTAGTTTCTCCTATACCTGTTCAGCGTGGCAATCAGTGTGGACACCATGACAATGCCCCTTTTCATCTCCGGTATACATTTATGTTCACCTCGACATTCTATTTGATAATTGTTCATTCCTACATCTAGTTCTGACGTGTCCCAATGTACATCTATTTATTCATGTTCACCTCTGCACTTTCTGTGAGTAGAGTTTATTA